TGGGAGAATGCAGGGAGGTGGAGGAAGTGGAGGAGCTCTGGTGGTGCAGTGCCTAAGGCATGTAACTGTTAACCAGAAGGCTGGTGGTTCAAATCCACCAGCCACTCCTTGGAAGGAAGGTTGGGCAATCTACTTGTGTAGTAACACTGCCTTGGAAACCCAAGGAGGGCTTGCTATGAGTCAGATCCAACTCGATGGTAGTGAGTTTGGTTTTTGTTTTTGGAGGAACTGGAGAAGCCTGGGGTCAGCCTCATTCTCTCCTGGTCTCTTGGCTCCCTTCCCTCTTCTGTCTCACTTTCCCCCTCTGTACCCGGTGCTTCCTGGTTCACCTCCCAACTAAGCTACCTGCACCTACTCCTTGTCTCAGGGTCTGCTTCTGGGAGAAACCCGACAAAGAAACAGCATGAACAAATACTCTAAGATGGAAGAGAACACGGTGGGTTTGAGGATACATTTCTTCAGTGTGCCTGTAGAAACCAAACCCATTGCCATTGAGTTGGTTCTAAGTCATGCAACCCTGTAGGACAGAGTAGAACTGCCCTATAGAGTTTCCAAGGCTGTAAATCTTCATGGAAGGAATCCTGGTAGCGCAGTGGCTAAGCGTTGGACTGCTAACAGAAAAGCTGGCAGTTGGAACCCATCAGTCACTCTACAGAAGACCTGGTGATCTGTCCCCATAGAGATTACAGCCTTGGAAACCCTATAGGGCAGTTCTACTCTGTCCTATAGGGTCGCTAAGAGTTGGAATATACTTGATGGAAACGGGTTTCATCTTTATGGAAGCAGACTGCCACAGTTTTCTGCCCTGGAGCAGCTGGTAAGTTTGAACCACCAACCTTCAAGTTAGCAGCCAAGTGCATAACCACTGAGCCACGAGGGTTCCTTCCATACGTACAATGGAGACTAATGGCATCATGATCTCCTAGAGACTTTACGTTCTGATCTTCCGTGGTTCTGTAATTCTAGGATGAGTGTTTAATCTCAGATGTCAATGGGGCCAGGAAAGTCACATGAACAGGCCAGCTGGGGGCTCTGATGGGCTGGAGAGCATGCCCCCCTCTAATGAGCCCTGCTGCCCAGATCCTGTTGATTGTTGCCACCTGCGAATGCAGGGTTGCCAAATTTCCTAATTTTTCAAGAAGAACTGGAAATCTTGATTGTTTCGGTCTGTGCAATCTCCTGACTTTTAAATGCTGGCAACAAATTCACGTTTTTTTTTTTTTTTTCAAACTTTCTAGAGCCAAACAAAAATGTCTGCAGGCTGAATTTGGCTCATGGCTACCAGTTAGGAATTTCTGTTTTGATATTATTTTCCTTCTTTTCTTTATTTAATAAATATTTACCCACTAAAGGGGAGGCACTACTCTACGCACTGGGGATAAAGGAATGAACAAAACAAGAAGAAAGGAAAAAAACCCCTGTCCTCATGACACTTGCATCGTAGAGGACTGTTCTGATTAATTCAGCCAACAAATGTTTATCAAGCAACTGTGTCCCACGCACTGTGTTGCATTGGGTAGGAAAAGAAAAATGTTCACGGTCCCTGCCCTCATGGAACTTACAGTCTAGAAGAGAGACACACGATCAGTGCAAAATTATAATATAAACGAAAAATACAGCTATGGGAAGAGATGTAATTGAGATTAAGAGTGGTCATTAGGGACGTCTCCATGGAGGATGCTACACAAGAACGGAAAGATAAGGAGGATTGTCTAGTAAAAGAACACTCTAGATTATGACAGAGGCTTCCCACTGCCCCCACCCCAGGTGACACCCCTAGGTGTCATCATTCCTGTACATATGGAGGCTTTCTACTGTTAGCACCTGTGATTCCCTGCCCTAGGGACTTTTAAAATTAAATTTTTATTGCAATTTGGGTAAAAATTTACAGAGCAAATTCATTTTCCATACAGCAGTTGATACACATTTTGTTTCATGACATTACTGCTATTCCCACAATGTAACAGCTCTTTTACCATTTCCTCCTTGTAGTTACCTCTTCCCTGTCTTTCCCTCCCATTCACTCCTGCCCACCCCCATCCCTAGCTGTCTCCCTGTGCAAACACCAGCCCTCTGTTCTCCCACAATTGATCCCTCCAAGGAGTTTATCTGCCTGATGTAAATGCTCACCCCATATGCCAGTCTATTGTTTGGCTGGAAGCCACAGGACTGAGTTCAGTTCCAGACCTGAAGGGTAACTAGGAGCCATAGTCTCAGGGGTCTCACCAGGCTCTATCAGACCAGCAAACCTGGTCTTTTTTTTTAAAATGATTTTGAGTTTTGTTTCACATTGTTTTCCTACTCTATCCAGGATCTCCTATATCAATCCCCCTCTAAGTGGTTGATAGTAGTAGCTGGGCACCATCTAGTTCTTCTGGTCTCATGGTCATATAGGCTGAGGCTCTCATGGTCTACTAGTTCCTTGGACTAATTGCTTCCATGCTTCTTTTCTTTTCTTCATTTTTCCTTGCTCTGGATGGGTGAGACCCATCGTTGCATCTAGATGGCTGCTTGCGAGCAAACTCCAGTTGTTACTCACCAAAGTAGGATGAAGAACAATGTTTTTGTGTAGTATGTTATGCCAATTGAGTCTGATATTTCCTGTGATCATGGTCCTGAGCCCACAGGTCCAACTACTTGCTCCCTCATGCCCTAGGGATTTCTTGGAGCAGTCCAGATGTGCACAAAGATAACACCCCTAGGAGAAGACCTCAAGCCATGATGGAAGAAAATTGGTTGATAATATGCCAGATCCCTCATCCCTTGGGTGGGTCAATTCTAGGATGTGTTCTATAGAGTCTTCCAGAGGTCCCCACTGGGACTGAGCCCCAGCTGCTCATAGTAGTAACTGTTTATGCCACTTGTATTGATTGGCTCCCTTCCTCTCCCTATCTCACTTTTTCCCACTGCACCTGGGGCTTCCTGGGATCACCTCCCAAATAAGCTACCTGTACCTACTCCTTGCTAAGGGTCTGCTTCTGGGAGAAACCCAGCCAAGAGAACAACATGAACAAATATACTAAGATGGGAAAGAATGCAGCAGGTTTGAGGATCAAAGACTCAGGATGAGTAGTAGGAAATAAGGCTGGGGAACGGAGCAGGAGGCCACTCATGTAGGGCCTTGGAGCTTGGGGTTAGGGTTTGTCAATGGGGAAGCTACGGCCAATGTTTCAGCTGGAGAGTGGTAAGACTGGGTGTGTATTTTAGGATGACCCCTCTGGCCACTGTTGGGAGAAGAGCAGAAGTAGGGGCAAGAGCAGAAGATGGGACACCAGAGAGAAGGCCACACGAGAAGTGAAGTGAAGATGGCTGAGCTTAGGTGGCCAGACTGCAGAGAGGTGAGTGGCAATTTGGAATGATATGGACCAGGTGACACAGGGCTCAGAAAGCCACTCTGGGCTTTGTCCTTGTCTTGAGTTGTTTTTGTTGAGTGCTGTCAGGTGGATTCCAACTCATAGTGACTTTGTGTGGCTGAGTAGAGCTGCCTTATAGGCTTTTCTAGGCTGTCATCCTTACAGGAGCAGATCTCTAGGTCTTTCTTCTGTGGAGCTGCTGGGGGGTTCAAACCACCAACCTTTTAGTTACTAGTTGAGCATTTATCTGTTGCACCACCAGGGCTCCTCCCTCGGCTTGAGGGAGCTTACAATCTAGTTTAGGGGTGGTGCTGAGACACGGACACACGTCATAACTAAGACTGCCATGCCCCACACAATCCGTAAGAAGTGAGTTGTTGGATGGAGGTATGTAACTTCAGAGTGGGGTGTCTCTAAGAGAAGAGTGAAGGGAAGCTTCTTAGGGGAGGTGACTTTACTGGGGTAGTTAGGAGAACCATAAAATATATAAACCCAGTGGGCACCTCACTACCACAGCCCCTCTGGGACAGGCAACATTTCTCAATGGTTTCCAAGCCCACTCGTGGGTGTTCCCAGCAGTCCTCACCTAAGCTGTGCACAGTCCAGAATCGCATGCCGGATTTCCCGCGGGCGCTGCTAGACATATTAACAGCATTCCTACGGGGCGAGAGATTTCTGCACCACCAACACCGTTTTTACATTCTTTACAACATAATGGCAGACAATAAATCTATCTTGCTAATTACACACCCAGCTTGTTATAACCCCCATAAAAAACAGAACAGCTGGAAAAGCCATGAGGTGATGTCAAATCATATTCCTGGTCTCTAAACAGAAACAGAAATATTTTCCAGTCATTGATGAGCCTCAAGGCTCCTACCCAGGCATGGAAGCAGCTGCCAATAGGTCACCCACCTTGATCCTTGATGAGATGACAATAGATTCCCCTCTAAAACACTGCCTCTCCATCCTCAGATATCTCAGATGTCTAGTACATCCTTACGTGGCTTGTTGAGAAGTCCATAGGATGAACTCAAGAGTTGGGGGGATTGGGGTCATTAGCAGTTGGGCTCATTTTTGCTTTATAAAGGCACTTTCAACATTTCTTCCATTCACCACCAATTAGCCAACCGCACTTGCCCAGACTCCTAACTGGATGGCTCCCCAACTGAATTTGTTGATGATACATTTGCAAAGCTGTTGTTACGATCAATGCTGGTGCTGACGATGCCTCCCCCTTGTCTTGGAAAAATGGAAGGAAAATTAAATTCATCTGCCGGACATACTAAGATAAACAGTATGGAAGAGGAAAGCACTTTACCTTGCTTTCAAGCTAGAAGTATTATTTTTGGCTGCAGTGTGTTCTAGCCCTCTTAGCTGAAGACTATAAGCTCTGTCCCATCAAGGTAGCTGTTGAACACTTCATGTGGTGGAAGAAAAGGCATGAGAGATGATAGAAGGGGAACTAATTAAATTTTCACATGTCAAAGGAAAATTCCATATGAGTCTTCAAACCCAGGCTGACCCAAAGGGGAAGCTTTTGTTGCAGAAGCTGCCTCATCACCTGCCCCCACAAGTCTTAGGACAATCTGGCTGGACAGTCAGGCATGTGGGGGGGAGGGGAAGAAAGACAAAGTAGATCCTTACCTTCCCGTATCTGGATGCAAACGTCCCCGTGAGTAAGGAGTGAAAAATAATTATCGTCTCATCCAAGTCCCACACGAACACACGCTGTGATGAAAGAGAGGAAGAGAATGGGGACAAATGGGCTCGCTTGTCTCTGACTCAGTGTCTGCAGAAAGTCATTCCCCTGGAGAAGTGGCCTTGAAAAATGCTGCCTTTAGGTTATTAAACACGCGACTCACTGACGCACTGTTGAGTCCCCACCCAACCTCACCTGTGTAAAGTGTATGCTGATGGCCAATCTAGTGGGTGCCAGCACCAAGAAGCTGGCTCTTGCCTTAAATGCACAGTGGCTCTGAAAAGGCAGAGTTCAATCCCCAAATAGTACAAATCATGAAGTTCATTTGACAAAATGAAATGCTAGCACTTCACACTTCACTCTGACCCCCTGTCCAACCACTTTGAACCACTTCTGTTTGTAGCAATTTGGGGTCTTATGTCGATAACTTACACTTTTGCATACACGTACCTTTATGTCTTTGTTTGCCAACCTCAGACAGTATCTTTTGGCTGAGTACTCTAAAAGATGAGGATTCAGTTGACATGAATGTCCTTCTAGTTTTCTTATATGCACGCTCCTGTTCCTAGTTCCCTCACCATTGGGCATTATGTCTTGGCTGAAACAGTAACCCAGTGTGCATGAGATGGATCGGTGACTCCCCTTTCCTGTACTTGCTGCAATATCTATCAGCTTTAGCTTTACTTGTGTTTCACCAACATGGGTAAAATCTGTACATGTGGGTTTGTAACTATAATGAAGTCTTCCATGCTCTGTCCACATTGATTTTAAAAGTTGAGAGCCAGTGAAGAGCATGTACATCTTGTGATTATTGTTAACTGCAGAGCTAACTAATGTGTTAAGATTTCGCCTCCTTCTCTAGGTGTCCAATCTCAACCCCAGAGCCACTTTAAGAAGAATGTTCCTACCATCAAGGCCATGTGGTATTTCCTTTTGTATGTTCCATTGACTACTCCAAACCATGCCATTGTTGTTGTTGTTGTTATGTGCCGTCGAGTCGGCCCCGACTCATAGCGACCCCTCCTTGGGTTTCCGAGGCAGTATCACTACGGAAGTAGGATTGCCCAACCTTCCTTCCGAGGAGTGGCTGGTGGGTTTGAACCGCCAGCCTTCTGGATAGCAGTCAAGTGCTTTTAGCCACTATGCTACCAGAGCTCCTAAACCATGCCATAGAGCAGTTCATTCTTATTTAAACCATGCCATAGAGATGTTCATTCATATTTAAACCATGCCTTTCTGGTATAACTCTTCGTTTTTGTTGTAGTTTATTCATTGCTTTGATCTTTTCTTGTTCACAGTAATGTATCTTCACGATCACATCAAGTTCAGCCACACCTTCTGTAGCATGGAATCTGTACCAGGAATGTCCATCCTCAAGTTACAAAATGCTTCCAAACCTTTATATCTCCACGCTTGCTGAACAGCTAGCATCCCAAGACTTCCCTTCACTATACTTCTAGGCTAAATCCACTGTTTCTTGGTTCCTGAGTCTTTCTCTATGGAGTTCTGGTGGCATAACAGTGAAAACATTTGACTGTTAACCAAAAGGTCACCAGTTTGAACCCACCAACTGCCTCCATAAAGCTTTGGAAACCCCATGGAGCATTCTACTCTGCCCTAAAGGGTGGCTATGAGTTGGAACCAACTTGATGGCAGTGGTTTCAGTTTCTCTCTTGGTTTTCTACCTTGTTTTGCTTGAGTACATCCTTCTGAAAGGGTGCATGGGAAAGTAATATTTCTGAAATCTTGTATAGCTGATATCTTTATTTTGCTCTTTAGTTTCTTTGGGTAGAGAATTACAACTTCAAAATAACGTCCTCCAGATCTCTGAAAGAAGATGGATTGGCACAGTGACTGTAACAATGGGCTCAAGTACAGCAAGGACTGTAAGGATAGTGCACGACCAGGCAGTGTTTTGTTCTCTTGTACAGAGGGTCACTACGAGTCGGAGCTGACTCGAAGGCACCTAACAACAACAACAACAACAACAAAGGTCTCTGAAATAATGCCTCCATCATCCATCTCCTAGTGTTCAGTGTTGTTGATGGGGAGTGTGATGCTTCACTACCCTCAATCCTTCATAGGTTTTTTTTTTTCTTTCTCTCTCTCTAGGATTTTTTAGGATCCTTTCTTTGCACTTGGTATCCTGAATACCATGGAGATACATCTAGGTCTTTTTTCTTTTTTTTTTTCCATTCATACTGTTCAGCCCTCGAGCACTGTCTGATAACTTGCATCTTTCTATAGCTCTGAACATTTTTATATTGTTATTTCTGTAAATAATTTCCTCTCAGGCTTTCCACTGTTCTCTCTTTCTGGAATTCTCAATTGTCAAACAGTAGACCTTTTGGATTGCTACACTGTCTCTTATCTTTTAAAAAATATTATCTATATTTTTGTGTTTTTTGATCTATGTTCTGGGAGATTTCTTAAAATTTTCTCTTCCAACCTTCTATTAAACTTTTGACTCCTGCAGTCATTTGAAAATTTCCAGTAACTCCTTTTTCTCTAGGTGTTCTTTTCCTAAAGCCCCCACTTCTTATTTTATGGAATCAGTATCTCCTTGAGTCTTTATGAATCAATCAGAATTTTTCTAAGTTCTCTTCTGTTTCTTAAATTACCTCTCTTCTCATCTATTTTATTTACTTATTTTGACTTTTACCTTTCATACTGTTGATTTCCCTGTTGATCTTTTTTTTTTTTTCCTAAATTTTGTTGTTGTTGAGAAATACACAGCAAAACATACACCAATCCAACTGTTTCTATAAGCACAATTCAGTGACAGTGATTATATTCTTCTAGTTGCGCGACCATTCTCATCTCCTTTTCCAAATTGTTCCTCCTCCATTAACATAAACTCACTGCCCCTTAAGGTTTCTCTCTAATCTTTTGAGTTGTTGCTGTCAATCTGATTCTGTGTGGATAGTTCTTGAAAGGGCACAGTGCTCAAGACATTCTTTACGTGTTAAGCTGAACTATTGTTTGTTTTTTAGAAGACTCTGGAGGATACTTTTGGTTTAAGGTTTAAAGTGATGATCATTGATTTAAGAACAAAGGATCTGATAGATTATCTGTGGAGCTGGTGTGAGGAGGGGAGGCAATTGCATCTCCTCAGTCTGCCATCTTGAACGTGCCATTTCAAACTCTGGGGAAGTCAACGACTGTACTTACCTCTGGCATTTGCCATGTCTTGAAAAGTAAAGAGCTGGGTGGGATCTAGAAGGACAAAGATCAGTTAGTATGCTGAGTTCTTCGTGGTTGCTGTTAGTCGACATGCAGTTGACTCTGAATCATGGAAGCCTTATGGGTAACAGAAGAAGACAGCGCCCGACTCTGTGCCATCTCCATGACCGTTGGTGTGTCTGAGTCCGTTTGCAGCTCCTGTGTCAGTGTATCTCGTTGTGGATTTCCCTAATTTTCTTTGACTCTCTACTTTACCAGATATGATGTCTTTTTCTAGTGACTGGTCTTTCTTGATGACGTGTCCAGAGTATGTGAGTTGGAATCTTACCATCCTCACTTCTAAGGAGCCTTCTGGTTGTATTTCTTCTTAGGGTGACTTGTTCATCCTTTTGGCAGTCCATGGTATTTTCAATATTCTTCATCAACACCAGAGTTTGAACACATCAATTCTTCTAGTTTCCTTTTTCATTATCTAACTTTCATATGTATATAAAGTGATTAAAAAGACCATGGCTTGGGTAAGATGCATCTTAGTCATCAAAGTGGTATCTTAGCTTTGGAAAACTTTAAAGAGGTCTTTTACAGCAGATTTGTCCAATGCAATATGTCACTGGATTTTTTGACTGCTGTTTCCATGGATATTGATTGTTGATCCACAAATCTTATTGATCTAAAATTCTACTTGGATCAATGATCATGAAGTTTTTGGTTTAGTTATATTTAGGTGTATGTATGTGCTGGATCACAACATTAAGTATATTTCTTGCATGGGTCATGGTTGAAAAACTTTGGAAACCACTGCTTTTAAATGAGTAGCTTCAGGTTTCAAATATTCTAAGTCCCAAAGTATCTTAAAAGAGCTCTCATGGTGCAGTGCCTCAGGCACTTAACTGCTAACCAGAAGGTTGGTGGTTCAAACCCATCCACCAATCTGCAGAAAGAAGATGGGGCAATCTACTTTCATAAAGATTTACCGCCTTGGTAAAGGGGGTCACTATGAATAGGAACTGACTCTATGGAAGTGAGGTTTTTTTTTTTTTTTTTAATGTATCTTAACTGACTAGGGTAGATCAGTTAAACTTAGAAATTTCAGTAATATGTTTTAAAATCAGTGAATATTTTCAAATTGAGTTCAGGCTGTATTTATTTATCTATCATATCTCCTCAGAAGAAAAGTGTCTGCTCCATCACCCATCACCCCACCATGCTATCCTCTACCCTAGTCCTTAGTCTGCAGGTGTTCTACTTCCTAGCCCACCATGGTTTGGGTCAAGGTAGGCCCCTAACTCCTGCTGACTCAGAGGTTTTCCCTAGGGACTTAAAAGTGAAAACCTAGGATGAAATTCATTGTCTAGGGGTGGCTGTTGGTGGCCCAGTTTGACCAGCTAATGTGGAGGGCTGAGAAAGCCAGTCCACAGGGAGAATAGAGGGTTAATGGATAGAAATAGAAGCCAATACTTATCCAAGTCCTAGATTCAAGTGGGGGCAAAGTGGAAGGAGGGCCCAGGACAGGAGAGCTATGCCTAATCATGAGTGCATGAGGGCACTGCAGGGACTATGGTTTGGACATTCTAGCACCTTCACTGTGGCACAGAGGGAGAGAAGGCTCTATGTGCTGGTCCCAGTACTTTTCCTATACTCTGTTATACCCCTTCCCTTGGGTTCTAAGAGAGTCCCTGTATCCTTAAAATAAATTCTGCTATTTCACTTAAGCTAGGTCAAGTTGGTTTCTGGCACCTGCAGCCGAAGGATGTTAACTAATACATGCTGAGAATTCTCCTCCTTTCCACTTTCCTACATCATTTCTCTCTCATGAGCTTCAGTCATTAGCAGAACTGCCAAAGACTTAAGAGGTGCGACGCATGCAAGCCCTTCATGCTGACATTCAGCACAGAAGTGAAACATGACTCACACCTTTTCAACGGTTCTTGCCCAGTGGTACTTACTCTGAAATTGAGAAGCAGATGTTTCCAGAATAATATCACTCCATAATCCCCGACTTCCATGCCACAACCCCCATCTCATTCACAGTGTAATGGGAAAATGTCTCTCCACCCCCCACCGTCCTCTACCATGAGCGGCAACTGTGTTAGGTGACTTTAATTCCTTTTGAAATATTAATGTATGTGTTGCTCTCTGTTTTCCATAGATCTGCAACTTCAAACTTGGTAGGAGAGCTTCAGGAATATGGCAGGCCAGAAAGCAAACACAATCTGAAGCCAATTAATTTTCTTCCAGACTTTTGCAAAGGCCTAAACCCACTGAAGGAATTATATGAGGTTTCCTTGATGAGGTGAGGTGGAGGCTTTAAGAATTAGAGGTAAAGAAAGAATGGAAAGCACTGGACTGTGAAGGGTCCCATGAGTGGTAAGAACACATGACCTGCTTGCTAGCAGATGAAGACCAAGACCTCAGGGGCTGGACGGTATACCTTAGGACTGGACAAAGTGTAGTGGAGAAGCATGAGATCCAAAATATTTCACACCTGCTAGGACAATTAGAGCAGACACCAGCCATAAACAATTGGTCCTGCCATACTAGTGGACACAGGCTAAATAGCAAACGCCCTGGTAGTGGGCTATCATTGTTTGGGCCCCCAGCATCCATTCCTACGTCGTCTGCTAAGAGGACCCTGGGTTTCTTTTCCCATTGCGTGCTGTCTTGATGGGACTGTCAATCAAAAGCAAGCATAAGACTCAAGTTACATCAATGGGGTTCTCTCTTCTTGGCACTAGAATCAAAAATGGTTCACTCTGGCACCCTAAAGGTACCCTGGAATCCTCACCACTAACTTTGTCCTTATTCTTTCTAAACCTGGTTTTGTGACCTCTCCATTTCTTTCCATTCCAGTAAATTCCTTTTTGCTTGGATAATCAGAATTTGTTTCTGGTGCTTGCAGCTAAAGGCCTGTAGGTAATATGTCAAGGTTCTCAGCTTCAACAAGGATTCTTATGCCCGATGCATGGCATGGAAAACCCCAGAGACTGGCCAGATTTTAACTGATCACTGTAGGCTTTGACAGTGAGGAAGGCAGCAGTGACTCAGGCAGACTGGAGAGTAGAGGCTCTTTGTAACCCATGGATTCTCATACAATTTTAGGAGGTGAGGGGACCCTATAATGAGATGGGATTTCCTGATGGGATGGGGACTCAGAGTTAAAATTATGTTAATTAAATTTTTTTTATTGTAATTTGGTTGAAAGTTTATACAGCAAATTCATTTTCTGTACAGCAGTTCACACACATTTTGTTTCATGACACTGACTGCAATTCCCCACAATGTAACAGCTTTCTTCCCACTTTCTCCCTGTAGTCACCTCTTCTCTGTGTCCTTCTTTGCTATGCATTCCTGCCCCCCAAGGTATCTCCCTGTGCAAACACTGCCCTTCTGTTCTCCCATGACTGAGTGTTCTATGGAGTGTATCTACCTGATATAAATGTTCATCCTATATATCTGTCTATTGTTTGGCTGGAAGCCATGGGAAAAATTATGTTAATTTTAAGGAAATGAAGAAAAGGATACTTCTTAGCATATCTGAGTCTGTGGGCTGAACTCTGTAGCTACTCCCTGAATTACACAGGATTATAAATTAGGATGTAAAGAGGATGCATTTGAATTTCTTGGCACCGACTCAGGCTTTGTCGATAATAATCCATACACGACAGCCCACTCAAGCCAATAAATGACTGCCTTTTGCAAAGATGCAGAAACTGGTGAATTAGCCCATATTTTCCTTTGATAGATAG